TATAGAGATGGTATATAAGTAAATAACTTTACTCACATGGGAAACGGAGGCCACGTGAAAGGTTTGTGAGCACAACTAAGTGCACAGAGCATACCATATCATCTGATTATTGTAGGAAATAATCCCAAAAGGCAACTGACTGTGTAAAGCCACATAAAACAACACAAAAAAATAGGATGAATATGCCAAAATCAGTGGCTAATCTGCCAGAGTCAGCTGAGGTGACTTGACGGCGACCAGCGAGACCTAGCTGTCAATCAAGTGGCCATGCCCTTAATTATGCAAACTTAATATAGCCTAAAATAAAGGAAACTGATGAGTTATAAAAAAATTCACCCCCTCACAGTTGTCATGAAGGGTAATATTAGCTATATGAACCAAAATCTTTCTTTGTACCATGCTGTAAACTCTTTTTTTCTGCTGTAAAGTTGGCCGTTCTAACAGTGAGCTTAATTAAACTTTGCTCTATTATGGAGCCAGGACTAGCGGAATTTTGATGAATTGCAGTTTCAGTTACTCCCATATTGGCCTCCCGAGGGAGAGCGGGAGGTTGCCGCTTGGGCAGTATGCATGAAACAAGTAATATCGGACAGAAACATGTCACATTAACACAAAACTATTTTTTAATAGTTATTATTGAGTCAAATTTACAAGTCAAATGAATTTGCACTGCTATTTATATTTATCATCACTTATCAATCATCATAAAACAATAAAATAATCTCTCATAAAATATAATAATAATAATAATAATAATAATTCTTACAGTGGAGAATAGAAAAGATATTGTCTGATGGAAAAAAATCTCATATTAACACATTAAAATAATTCTTAAAGTTTACTATTCAGTCAAATTTACAATGATCTAATTTGCACTGCTTGTAGAATTTACAGATCAATCATCATAAAACTTGATAAAACCACAAATCTTTAATAAAATAACTTTAAAGTGGATGTATGCATGGAAAATACATTCTATGGCAAAAAATTAACACATTTAACCTGCAATTATTATATGATTGCTTGCATTAATATGCTCATATCAATCATTTTGATTAAACGGAAGAAGAATTTTAGTCTTTGTTATTCCAAGTCATGTTATTATGGGTGTGTTAATGTGAACAATGAGCCTGAAAATAAAGTTATATTAATATCAACAGCAACACTCTTGCAGTCAGCCGTTGCCTAACGACATACAAAAGTGCACCACGCTCCTTTTTTTCTTGTCAACAAAAAGGCAATGCAGTGCACCTTACGTTTTTGGAACGTAAATGAGCATTCGTGTGATCAGCCCCTCAGGTTGTAGTCTTCAAAAACAGCAATACTTTCTTGCCATATTAAACTTAGCACTTTCTGTCCGATATTGGAGAAGTATTTTGATGTCCATTCTTCCTTAAACACATGACATTCAGAGTAAATTTTTTTTGCCTGATTCATTTTCAGTCATTCAGTGCATTTTAATTTCCAAGATTGTGTTCTAATTCTACGGGTTGCGCTAACTGTACCGCGTGCAAAACTGCCATCACATGGCGTTCACTTGTAATTGCATCATTAATTTACTAATTCTGAAAAAAATTCCTCGCGGGCCGCATGAAAATGTTCAGCGGGCCGTAGTTTGCCCACCTCTGAGTTAGGGTGTCTTTCCGAGCTGAGAGCCCTGCACGGCAAATATGCATTTTCCTTTTCAGTCAAATAAGTGTAAACTGAAAGTGCTGTTCAGACTACATTTAACCCAGGTTCATAATGGATACGTACTCCTGCATACATTTCTGGAGAAAGCAAAATATGTCCCAGAAGGCACATTTTTTTGTTTTTGTTTTCACGTATCCACCGGAGGCCAGTGTGTATACCTTTTCAGATCTCAAAATTTTCTTGTGTGCCATTCTCGCCTGCTCTTCTCAAGGTAATCCACCAGAGGCCGCTGTCGACTGACTGACTGACCGACTGATACCCCCACTAACCCCCTTCTCTAAACCCAACCAATAGTGTTTTTAAAATCAGATTGACCCCCTACCACCTTCCCTAAACCCAACCGATAGTGTTTTTAAAAGTAATCCAGAAAAAGAAAATCCCTCATGGCCGCTGATTTTTACTACATTTTAAGATCTTACCACACTCTCATCCTGTTATTTACTTGTTTACTTTATTTTTTGCCATTTGTATTTGTTTTACCTGCTTTCTGGAACCGTTCCTCATTGGACTCGAACCTCGTTGACACGGTCAACACTATTGGCTGCATGTGTTTGATGTCATTACTGACATACAGCCTTTGAAATCTTTGAAATTTGAAAGCATCGTCAATCAGCTGATGTGTCAGCAGATCGAACACATATATCTGATGGTTCAGCGGACAGATGCAGCTTTAACATGCTCTCGTGTCCCTGTAAATACAGGGTGAAGTGAGTGCATCGATGACCATTTTGGCCAATCGCCAATACTGTTGGGCTCCTGAACACAACAACCAATTGACTCATGACCTTCCACCCATTGGCGGCATCTCATCATCTGACGCAATGTGGGGTTGAGTTGGCAGACTGCTCTGAAATATTTAGCAAGCTAGATATAGAATTGCAAGGTGTTGGTGATGCGTCATTCAGTAGTTCACACATAAAGACTGCTGAGCGCCGATCACCTGCAGATTTTGTCCCAATCACAGCCCGATCTGTTGGCGAGCTCAATAACTTGCAAATTAGGCATAAAATCCTGTAGTGTGAACTAGGCCTTAGTTGATCAATCATCATGAAGTCACCGGTCCCCTTCTTTGGGCAACTAGAATTGTGCAAGTAACCGAGACGTTACTAGAAAGGTTTTCAGCTTCAAAAAGTTCTTCACAAGGTTAAGCAAGGACGAGGATGAAACATAGAGCTTCTTCAGGCACAGACACTTTCTGAGTGTGTGTCTGAGTGTGTATGTGTGTGAGAAAGAGCTGGAATGAAATGTTTCTCTAAATGGAATATATCCTCAGGACTGAGAACAGCTAATGTCAAACACTGGATTCATTTCCTCTCCACTTCTCCAGTCTCTGAAATTCAGGGCACCACAAGGTTTGAGCGCTTGCATGCTAGACTTTTGTGAATTTAAAAGATGCTAAATGTCTGGGGAAAACAACAACACTTGCTGTTCTAAAGCTAATAATGTGCAGAATCAATGTTATGCTATCCATTAAACGTGTACAGATCATTTAATTTACTCACTATTTTGTCAGATTTTCAAATTTACTTAAACAGTAGGTTTCAGAGCCTTTCCAAAACATTGGTATTCCCTTAACAATTACCTTAATTAGTTAATTATCATATTTATGGACTTCAGTATATCTCTGTTGTGCTTTTTGTTGTGACTCAAAGCTTTTAGTTCTCTATTTATAACACACATTACAAAATAAAAGACACAACTGGCATTCCTTGTAGATCAAACTGATGACGTCAAAGAACTAGCACTTATGAAATAAGAATGTACATTCTGCTCCTGCGTAAAAGAGCATTTATCTTTCCAAACCCACAAGTGGCCAGGGTTTAACGCTAAGGATTTTTTCTACTGGCCAGATTGGACCAGTGGTTCAGATTTTTACTTGCCCTGGCAATATTTTCACTTGCCCCAACAAAAAAAAAAAAAGTTAATAGCTATTTCTCAGCCACAAATTTTTTAAAAAATGATTGTGAATTTAGAATTTAAATAGAGAAAAAAAAAGGTAATTAATGTAAAATGAGCAAAATTCAAAGTGCAAACAAAAGTAGTGGTATAGAAAACCTGCAGGTATTTTATTGCAAAACAAAAGTGGCTGACCTGCCAAACTGATGACAAACTGTACAAAACATCACTTCATTTTTTTTTTGTCGTGGTGTACCCTCGCAATGTCTGCTTCCAAAAAGTTAAAAACAAACGTTTTCTTTTAGCATCATCATTTGATGTAGCTGTCTCTTCGCTGTACTGGTTGTTATGGAAAAAAATAACCTGCTTACAACATCCAATCAGACAAGAGGAATTGAAAAGCAATATAGTGCTTACGACGACATCACAGAAAAGGCAGCATTTGAAGCCTTAAAAACCCAAACTGTTTCTCTATTCTAAGACTGTATTTGCATGCAACTAATAAATAGTCGCAGGCAAATTAAACTTTAGTGACAAGGCAGCACTGGCCCGATCGGGCCAGTAATGATCCTGTCCACTGTCCCGAGCGTCTCACACACTGGCCCCGGGCCATCGGGCAGTCCTTATCGTTGAGCCCTGAGTGGCAATAACAGTATTGTTATAGCACAACGGGAAACTAGATCTTGTGCTGCACATACAGTATACCTGTATACATTGTAAACTAAGCAGTGTAAACATACCATTTTCACATTACTTCTCACATATCACAGAGAGATTCGCTTATGCGAATATTGTCACCGTGGAATAACAAGGTTCTATCTGCGTTCTGAATGATTTTGAGATAATGAGCTTCAAAGTTTTTACATTCCTTAGCACACAGTAAGTGTGTAACATTTGTTTTATAAATAAGAAGTCTCAAAATGTAAACAACTTATAAAAAAATCACATAATTTAAATGAGTTGTCATTTAATTAGAGTATGTGAATAGCTCAATTTTGACAAAAATGTCAGACAGAACCTTGAAATTCTAAGGTGACGATATGTCTGATGATCTGATAATCCATATCATTTGTAAATATTTAAGAAATGCGAAGAAATGACAATCTGCTTCTTTGTTGACCCTCTTAACTCAAGTTTTTTCACAACTTAGCTTTGCCCTCGTGCTCTGATTCATAACTAAACAACCAATCAGAGCGCTCTCTTTCGCTGACAACTGACTCTGATTATGCACGCTGAATTAGGCAAACTCCCTCCGATGTGAGCTCGACGAGAGGTGACGTGTGGAACACACCAAACAAACAAGCCTGACAGACACTCACTGACAGCATGAAGCTAAACAATGGCCGACCATTGGCTTGTTGTATCCTGACCTTCCAGTCTGGTTATAGTCTGCATTTAAAAGCTTTATTTACCTTCTAGCTCCTCTTTCTCAAAATTGGTGTTGAGCATAGACCGAGTCCCACCTCTGTCCAGCACAGCTTCCTCATCCTGTCTCTGCAAAACAAAACACAATGATTAAACACACAGTCGGGCATGCACATACATGTTCTCTCAGAGAAGATCAAGACATGAATATCCTACAATCCATTTCTATGAAATATGACAAAATACAACGTGACTACAGAATATACTGAATTAAACTAAATTTCTTTTTAGAATAATAAAAAAACTGCAGTGTGTACCTGTGACGAGTCAATTATTTTGAGTTTAATTTTTTTGTGTACTTTAATAAATATTTATTTTGAATTATATAATTGAAACTTGACCTCCCCATGATTGTTACTCTGCCTAAAGCCTGGCAGTCTGTAACACAGACCTAAACTAGCCAAGACACCAGCACAGAAACACACTCAGCAAAATCCCACCAAAATACAGAGATGTCATTGTCTTGTCAGTTTCACACACTTCAGTAGTAAAAAAAAATAATTAAACATTTGTACTAATGAAGCATTAATTATTGTGCATGCATATGCAAATGCTAGCTGTCCTTTAAAACAGCTCAAGAAAAACTAAATGTTACATTATAAAATGCACTAAAATTTTATAAAATCTCAAAAACTGTTTAAATTATGTTACCACAAATTTTAATTCATTCATTCATTCATTCATCCATTCATTTATTCATTTTCTTTTCGACTGAGTGCCTTTATTAATCTGGGGTCGCCACAGCAGAATGAACTGCCAACTTATCCAGCATATGTTTTATGCAGCGGATGCTCTTCCAGCTGCAACCCATATCTGGGAAACATCAATACACACTCATTCACACTCATACACTACGGACAATTTAGCTGACCCAATTTACCTGTACTGCATGTACTGCAGGGGAAACCGGAGCAACCGGAAGAACACCCACGTGAACACAGAGAGAACATGCAAACTCCACACAGAAACGCCAACTGACCCAGCCGAGGCTTGAACCAGCAACCTTCTTGCTTGGAGGCGACAGCACTACCTACTCTGCCACTGCATCACTTCTACCACTAATTTGGTGCTGTAAAACTTAAGGTAGCTCAGTGCTAATCTCAATGAAGCAGAAATAGCCCCCATCGAAATTTCAAGTTGTCTTGCTGGAACACAGCATAACATAAACACGCAATGGCAGCGCAAGTAGGGTGCTTTTTGACCCTCAAGGAAACAGTAAAAGGAGGCGTAGACAAACAGACCTTGAATGTTTTTGAATATTGAATAGAATTTCTTTTGTTTATTAACTATTCAAATAACGCTAAACGGCAAACACTTCACTCCAAAAGCACCGCTACTACTACACTACAATAGTTCTATTTTATCCTACCATTAGTAAAATTAGTTGGTTCAATTTTTAACAAATGTTATTGGTGCAGTGAGCGAAGCAGTGGCGCAGTAGGTAGTGCTGTCGCCTCACAGCAGGAAGGTCGCTGGGTCGCTGGTTTCGAGCCTAGGCTCAGTTGGCGTTTCTGTGTGGAGTTTGCATGTTCTTCCTGCATGGGTTTCCTCCGGGTGCTCCGGTTTCCCCCACAGTCCAAAGACATGTGGTACAGGTGAATTGGGTAGGCTAAATTGTCGTTAGTGTATGAGTGTGTGAATGTGTGTGTGGATGTTTCCCAGAGATGGGTTGCGGCTGGAAAAGCATCCACTGCGTAAAAACTTGCTGGATAAGTTGGCGGTTCATTCCGCTGTGGTGACACCGGATTAATAAAGGGACTAAGTCGACAAGAAAATGAATGAATAAATGGATTGGTGCAGTGGGTGACTGTCTTCAGAAACATTTTTTGTTGTGCTGATTAAAGTAAATGTATTCATATGTATTTTTATATTCTGGGTAAGGCAAAATACTACAAAATGTTCATCCAATTAAAAATTGTTAGGCCCATAATTTGCATAATTCTAATAGGTAGCCCATACTGTCTGTCAACAATTGTAGATTTGTTCAACTGCACACTCATTTACACAGATCTGCCGTTTACGTGTGCATGCGTGCCATGCTTTCATGTGCACACGAGACAATCACTGTGGTAATAACAAATGCAGAATAATTTTTTATTTTTAAATCTTTAATCAATATTGGAATTACTTTTGCACGCTGGCGAAGGATGACACCATGGCTGACGTATTTCTTTTAGACTGGTACTGTTCTGATTTAAAACTCTTTTATTCATGCAAAGCAAATCTAGATTGTGTTGTATTATGAATGGGTTATACGCACAGAAGTTGTTCAGCCACTAATCTTCCAGTGAAAGATTGATGTGACTATTTTCAATTTCATAGGGGACGTTTTACAGCATGGATAATGTAGATTTTTATGTAGTTTAAGAACAAAACATAAGAAAATAGTTATATTCCGCCTAGCCAGCTTTACCGAGGTGAAGTTGCTTTTATATTCACATCACATTGGTTCATTTTTGAACAATGACAACCTGTGACACTGCATACCGCCAGCCAATCATTAAACATACAGTAGTTGCTTGAGGACAAAGCATGTGAGAGAGTGAGACCAGTGCATGGATAAAATATTGCACATTATGACAAGTTTTGCTAGCTACAGAACTAAAAACATACCAGATATAATACAGTTTTTCACTGAAAGTAATAGCATTATAAAGTACTGTAATGTTTTCCATCTGGTGAATAACATGAACAAGTGGGTTGTCTGCTGTCATCTTTAAGGTGCGCACGTTCATGTCAGGAGGCGTGGCTGTGAAAGGCAGGGAGGGACTGCTTGTTTCAAAGATATGCTAACCAGTAGGGTTGGGCCGATAGATGATGCCGTCGTCCATCAGCCGTCAGACATCACGATGCTGAGTCTCGATCTTCCGCCCGGCCCCCGTTGCAAATCCGCTCGCGAAAAATACACACTCTGTTTACACTAATAGGTCTTAGATTTTTGTAAATGGCATTTTAAAATGAAAACGATCCACACTGGCGTTTAGCATTTCTGAGCAGCCCTCCTTCCTCACTATTGCTGAAAACGCACATCACGTGGCCACACACACACATACACACACAGACGCACAAACACTGTCATGTTCTCAAGACAGCGGTTCCAGGCAGTCAGTGGGTCAGTAGTCTGCTTTAATCTTTCACTTTCACACTTGTACTTAGTAATTTTAGCGAACACCTCAGATACTGTTGGCTGGTTCCTGTTGGTTGTGCACCAGTTTACCAACCAAGTTTGTCGACACTTATATGACGACACAGATCACTCTGCCTATTCACGAGTCCCGCGGAAAAAGTGATTGACAGGTGGTAATTATGTGTGTAACTTATCTTTATTCATTTACTGTATGATTTGTTTATGGCTAAAACAAAGACCATGCGGTGGTTAAAATGGTAGGTTACAAATAATTGATTCGTTATGAATTAATTAATTATTCAAAATTAATACACCGGCTAAGACGACGATGCCATCGTCCATCGCGATGTTTCATATTAGACATCGTACGATGCCAAATTGGTCGACATCGCCCAACCTTACTAACCAGTTAACATTCTGGCAGATCACGCACTGCACCTTTAATGTTTTTGTAATAAAGATGTATTGACATCTGCATTCAAACTCAACTTGTCAAATGGGATTTTAAGAGATATAACACATTAATTTGTGGAATGTTAGCTTGTGAGATAATAAAAACATTATTAACTGTCTGGTTTCTACAACTTTTGCTCAGGTGCAAACATCTGCCTTTAAACTTGAAATGAATCAAATAAACTGCAACTTTATTGTAATAATTAACAATCACAAATTTTTATCATATGATCTTTTTTTTTACCATGTTGCCCATATATATGAGAGTTAAACTGAGCCATTTCCTCCATTTCATAATTCAACTAAAAGGATTCCCACTCCACTGTTGTTTATGAATCACCACGACACCTTACATAAAACAGATTGTCCTTTCACTTCATTATGTGTTTTATTAAAGCAGATCTCCATTGTTGACTGTTTTCATTATAGTTCTCATCAGTTAGCTGTTACAGCTCTACTTGACATGTTTATCACCAAGAACCTCTACCTAATGCATTTAAGTGGGAGGTTTGGACTCTGAGTCATAACAAAAAAGGAACTTAAAAAATAATTGCTAGTTTAAATGCCATTGCAAGCTCACTGGGAAGAATGTAATATTCATTTTACTCTCATTTTCTTTCAGAAAATAACATTAACCATAGGAGCATACAGAACCCTGTCTCCCGCCTGTCTTCGGTTTACTGGCATCACACACACAAGGCACCATTCCATTCCTGTCTCCAGGACAAAATAGAAATTTAATGACAACATTTACTCTTAATAAATGACACTGAGGCCATAACACACAGTTCCTCATTCCTGCTCACATCACCAATACATGACATCCCAAAATATGCAGTCGTCTGCTTCAGCCTGAGTATAACCTTCACAGACAGTTTCCATGACGACTAATGTGGCCTGCCGCTAGTTGTCCCCAGAACATAAATGACATTGTTTAAGTCTCCTGTGCAGCCAAAGTCTCCCTAGCCTGTCCCTTACAGAAAACCAAACAAACATCACATTCAAATCTCATGTGGAACACACATGAAACCAAAATGTTTCAAAATCATGTTTCATGTGTGTTCCCAGAGGCATAGTCCAGATTCATAGTCCCAGATTCATGAAGGCCTCTATCCCATTATTCATGATCTATGTAATTGATCACTTCTTGTAGAATTGCTGGAAAATCACTGATGTAAAATCAGCCACTATTCAATTCAATTCAGCTTTATTTGTATAGCGTTTTTACAATGTAGATTGTGTCAAAGCAGCTTCACATAAATGGTCATAGTAACTGGATCAGGGTAGTTCAGTTTTTAGTGTTTAAGTTCAGTTCAGTTTAGCTCAGTTCGGTGTGGTTTGAAATCATTACTGAGAGTCCAAACACTGAAGAGCAAATTCATTGATGTGTAGCTTTTCAGATCCTAAACCATGCAAGCCAGTATTAAAAAGCTTAGTATTAAAAAGCTTAACCAGCGACCAACAGTATTAAAATAATAAACATCATTGT